CTGCTATGGGCTAGACAGAATCCTAGAAACCCAGAGTGGCTGGAGTTGGAAGGGACCTTAAAGATCCTCTCTATCCCCTGCCACTTCCAGGAGTCCAGGTTGCTCCAAGCCTCTTTCAGTCTGGCCTTGGACACATCCAGGGATGAGGCATTGATGCAGAGATCCCCAGTGGGTATGCAGTGGGTTGGTTTGAAAGCAGATATTTTGAACATTATTTGTCTTCTTCCCCCAGGTTTAGTGTTTCCCTGCCTTGCTTTCTCTTCGATAGGGAATGCCTGCTGGATGAAAAGTAACCAGCATGAGTCAAATTCAGAGTGCTCTGTACCCTGCCCTCTCCAATGGCAAACTGGTGAGGTCTCACCAGCTTTAACAGGCTCCCTCTCCCAAAGCTGCTCAGCTCCCAACTTGCCCAGGCCACCTCTGGCTTTGATCTCCCAAGTTTTGGCTGGATGTGAATGCTGAGATTTTCAGTGCAGACTCAGGATTTTCAGACAAGAAAATCGCAGAATGGAAAACTGGGTTGGGTTAGATTTTGGTTGTGATCCATGTCTTGCCACTAATAATGAAAATATCTGGACTTACTCTGTAAGTAAGCACAGAAGTCCCAGATTTTATGCTAATAGGAAAAAAACAAGAGGTTCAGAGGAAAGAATTACAAATGGAATCCAGTCCTGCTGTTCTGCAGTGTTATTTGCAAACTGAAATCCCAGATTAAAGGAAGAGGAGCACTCAGCTCTTCCCAAGGAGGGTTTATTCCCTATAATATTCCTTTGGGATATCGCTGCATTTCTGCCTTGTGTAGCCCTTTTCATGCATTTTAGCAAAGGCGGTAGGATGTCTCAGTTCACCTCCTTTTCCACATTTAGAGCATAGAACTACAGCCTGCTCTTTTCTGTCCTGTATGCATATTCCTACAACATTTTGGTGTTTTCCTTCCTGATCTTCCAAAGGGAAGAGCACAGATTTGCAATAAGCTTTCCAGAGCTGTTCACCTGTTTAATTTGCTGCAGACAGGCAGAGAACACATGGCAGACCCATTCCCTCTCTCCAGCCAAGGCACCTGTTGACTTCTCTGAAAACAAAAGGATTATTTTCTTACAGCCACTTGTTGCAGGAAGGTCTCCTGGAATCTAGAAAAGCAGCTGCCTTGGGAGCTCACTGTGAAGCTCAGCTCAGCTCAGCTCAGCTCAGCTCAGCTCACTCAGGTGCAGAACCCAATCTAAAGGTGCTTGCAGGGCTCCTACTCGGCGCACGCAAGGAATTCCTACGCATTGGCAGAGAGGGAGTAATGTTGGGGAAAGCCCTTGGCAGAGATGGGAGGTGACCTCCTCCCAAAGCATGGAGCTCTCGTGAGCCTGCATGAACTTCCTGCTGAGCCCCTGTCCTTGATCACACTTCCTAGGGTGCAACAGTTCCCTCAACCTAGGTTGGGGAGCAAGAATTTGGCAGGGCAGGTTTCCTCTGGGGAACATTCTTGTCTTTTGTGTCATCAGGACATGCCCCTGCTCAGAGGGAAGGAGGAACTCCTCGATCAAACTATCTCAGCCATTGCACTTGAATCCATTCCCTAATTAGGGCAGCAGTCACCCAAAACACCTTCTCCATGGATGATCCCGCAGCCTCCTGATCACTGCCCATCATCTCCCACTGAAACCACCTGCCTTGTCTTCCCTCCTCCCTTGCTCAGCTTCCCCCCAAGCAGGGGAGTGGCAATTCACCTGTGGGGACAATGAGCTGACTGGGCGTCAAAGGAAAAAAGCCCCACATGTGGTGTGCACCTGCCCCATTCACCCACAGCCTGGAGAGGAATTGAAGTGATGCTTTTGCAAGAGTCCTGAGGATGTTTCATTTTTGGGACTGAAGATGGTCACTGAAGTGATGAGGAGTGAGTGGTGAGAATTGCTGGAGGTGTTTAGGTGCCTGGGTACAGGAAGAATGCAAAGGAACTGCACATCTGTGGAGATGGAAACAAGCTCCAAAGTGGAGGCAGAACTGCCACACTCTCAGGGCTGGAGAGTTGGGAATGGGATGAACTTGGACCTTTGTGAAGTACTGTGGATGGCTCTGGGTGAAGTACTGTGACTCTGGGGCTGGTCTCTAGGCAGAGGACAGGGCACCAGTATTGGGATGGGGGAGTACTGGGGACAGTCAGCAGTGGGATGATTGAGGGGGACTGAGGTGACATTTGGTCAGAGGCTGGTGGAGGTGGTGACTGACAGGTGGTACAGGGATCTCCTGGGATGTCTCCTCAGCTTCCCCTTGTTTCTCACCAGAGGTGAAAATGCAGGGAAGAGGCTGGGTGGCCTCACAGCCCTGCTCTGGTCTAGTGGTCACTTGCATCCCAAAGCAGTTTCCCCTTCTGGAGAATGCCATGCATGAAAGGAAACAGCTCTAGGCTGTTCTAGCCTGGGAAAAGGGAAGAAAGGAAGGGAAGTCAGTTACACCAAGGTGGTGTTGTGCAACGCCAGTATTGTAGTTTCCCTTTGAAACTGCCAGGGCTGCGCTGGCAGCTGTGCTGTAGATAAGAGAAGCTGGCTCCTCCAGGGATGGAACAGTGAAATCTCTTTTCACTTGAGGCCAAAGGGAAAAAAAATTACTCCATCTGGGCAATTTAAGCTACAGGCATCTTGGATTTGATACATCAGAGAATTTAGTGCTGCTGGTAATGCCCCGTAATTCTCAATGTAATCAATTAAAGAACTGTTCACTCTAAATACTGCTGAAGGAAAACACATACAAACGGGCACATAAAGGTAATGTTTTCAATTTATTTATATAAACAATTGCATTTTAACAACATTGTTGTCCTACAAAAATAAAGTGAAAAACAATTCACAGAATTTTAAATAAATAATCTCAAACATCAACATTTAGTAGCTGCAGAGTACAGAATGCAGAGTGCACAGGAATCCTTGCTGAAGCAGCCTGTAACTTAATTCAAGTGAGATGGTCTGAGGAATTCCTCTGTGCCTGCCCCAAAAGAACTCGATCGGTCCAGACTTGCCTCCCTTTGACTCTGCCAAACCCTGCTCCTGGGCTAGTGGCAGAAGGGTGCTCTGAAGGGTGCCCAGAGCTGGGTCTGATGGACAATATGCACGAGGAACAAGTGTCCGAGCAGCGCTCGCTCATTAGCACGTACAGTACTGACCACCTTTGCAAACAAGGGGAGAGGAGGTTTTCCTTTCTTCGTGCTTCAAACAGAGAAAGGAAAACAAATGCCCTTCTTGCTCCCACAGCATCCATACCAAGGACCACTCCAGATGAGTCACTGGTATCGATGGCTGCAGGAGAGCTTGGCTCTGCTGTTGATGGCCACAACTACAGCCCTACCCAGCATGAGGCACGGCTGGCTCTACACAAATCCATGGAAACAGAAGCCACAGACAAACTACACTGCTGACAGAGCTGGTACAATGCACAAGCCTCTACAAGTGCTTGAGACTTCAGATGAAATAGAAAACTCAAGTCCTTTTCCACAAGTAGTCAAGTAATTTTGGGCAGGGGCACAGAATACCCGGTTGCTGCTCTATTCCAGTCTGAAGTGACATTTTCTTTTCCCCTATAGTTCCCCAGTTGCTTTTATGGGAAGATCATCTTCTATATTTCCTCTCTAGAAATTAAAAAAAGATACCCTTACATGCAAAGTCTGAAGTCCTATACAAGATCCTGTGTAATCTATGTGCCCAGATGAGACTAGATATTTTACTGCTGGATTAGGACAAATATGTCTAGGAGATTTTGTGCTGGCCAGTATTAAAGAAGCTTAAGCCACTTACTTAAAAAAATTATCTTTATAAATGATAAATAAAATATTATCCCTCCTTCCCACCCCAATAAATAGAAGTACAAATTGCACGTACAGTTTGTGCACACAGGCAGAGCTACCTCTTGTGCCTTCAAGTGCTGCTGAATCTTGTGTTCAGTCTTCTGTGTATTTACAGAGCTGCTCACTTTACAACCCCCCTATCTTTGGGAGCACAAAGCCACAGCACACCCTAATTCCAACTATATTGTCCTCCTGTCCTTAGAGTAACAGACATTAAAATTACACTATCAAGTAGACCAGAGAACTACAGCTATGAAAAGAATCCCAGTGCCTTGGGCGAAGTTCAAGACCTCCCCAGAGTTACATAATAAAAATCCTGATCCAAATGCAGGCAGCCTTGTATTGCAGCCTGACAGTCAGTTACTGCTAAGCTCAGTATTTCATTCTCACCCCCTTACACAACAAATACATCTGTCACGCTTCCTTCAAAAAGAAGTAGAATCCGGGAAAAGTACTATTTTGTTTAAATATTTAAAACATTAAAAATATATTTTTAAAAAGATGTAAAAAAATTACTTTAAATATTTAAAACATTAAAAATGCATTTTTATAAAGCTGTAAAAAAATTTACTTTCATCTAAATCCAGAAGTGGATCTGTACATAAGAGACATTAAGTTATGATACAAAGTGCCCTCTCTGCAGTGAGGGAGAGGTAGTATCAACAACAAATGCAATGCATTTTCTGACCTTACATAAAGACGTGAGTCTCAAGTATTTTTTTGTTAATTTTTGAGTGCTCATATGAAATCCATAATCTCTTCTGGCAGTTTTCATTAAGTCAGATTTTTTTCTTGTACTTTTAGATCAATAGCTGCTTTCAACTTGCTGATAAAAAAAATAGTTGCTTTTGTAGTGTTATGTGACCTATGAACACTGCCAGACAGAATAACCACTACTCCCCTTCATCAAGTATTAAAACAATAGGAAAAAGAAGATGGAACCTTTATCCACTTTGGAATACATCATTCTGTTACAGAAGATTTTAAACAAGGGATTCACCACTGTCAAGCTGAAACACAGAAAATCCCTTTTGTAAATTTAAGCCTTACCTCAGTAAGGAATTTAAAGCAACCCCCACAATGAAGATGCTCAAGTTGGTTTTTTAAATACTAAGCCATAAATAGAATAAATAACACAGTTAATAAATAAATAAATAGAGAGATAGCTGGATGTCTACAGCTCGGCAGAGCGCTCTTTCAGCAGGAGCGTGGGGTTGATATCTTCCATGGCAGTTTTTGAGGTACTAACATTAATCGTGGCCTCGGTGGGCTCGGGAGGCAGGATGTGGAAGGCGGTGAAGGGACAGCCCTTCACGTTGTTGCAGATGAGCTTCTGCAGAGAGGCCGTGTTGACGATGTCGAAGCCCACCTTGCCCCCAAAGGTGCTGGGCTTCCAGTACTCGGGGGAGCAGATGGCGTTGCCCATCAGCCCCTTCAGGGAGAATGGTGCCCCCATCTCCACCATGGTCTCGCCAAAGATGGCCCCGGGCCGGGGCTTCTCCACCAGCAGGCCTGGGTACAGCTCCATGGCATCGATGTCTCCATACAGCTCCTCCAGCTCTGCTGCCATCTCTTTTTCTCCTGCAACAAGTAAAAACTGTAAGTGGAAAAACCCCATTTTCTGTGCAAGACTGCCCTGTTCAAGCCCAGCAATGCACTGCAGGACTCTGTGGGCATTTTAAGCCAATGTCTCTCATTTGCTGGGGAGGATGAGGGCTGTTACCTGTAAGTTCTTCGAAGGATCGGAACGGTTTCATCATGAAGCGTTTCCTGTACTCATTCAAGGACTGGTACCTCATCTGCCTGCTTTGGTCAATGGAGGCCTTTGCCACTTTCTGTACTGCAGCAGGAACATTCTTCCCACCAGCAACCTGCACACGAAAGAGGAAAAGCTGTAAGATCTCCTGATATGAGTCATAAGGAAGTTGTGCCTTTCCAGTGATTAGTTTTAAATAGCCTTTATCCCATTCCCTTGTCCCACCCCCCAGAGACTCATTCTTCTGTCAGTTCACCATCAACTTGAGGAAGGACCTACCCTGCCAGCACTTTGCTTGGAGAAAGATTTGACCATGTGGGATAGTCCGTGCTCCAGCATGATGGAGTTGTTGTAGAGGAACTGCTGGAAGGTGTACTCCTGGTCGTGGATCTGGAAGGTATCGGGCAGCAGCGGGTGCCAGTGGTACAGGGTGTTGAACTCGGCTGCGATGCGGTTCTGGTACTGGAACTTCTGGTTGAACAGCAGCTCGGGGTCAAACTTCAGCTTGAAGTGGTACCCACTCAGGTGCTGCACGTAGTCCTCTATAACGATCTTGATTGTCTCTCCTGTTGGACAAAGGAACAGGAGAGAATGTTAGCACTGCTTCTTCTCAGTGGCAGGGAAAACACCATTTCTGAACTGCTCTAAAATATACTACAGTGATCAGGACAACAAACACTTTTCTGTAATCTCTCCTAGAAAGCAATTCTGTATTTTATGTGACTAGGGGGTAGAACAGTACTTCAGATCCCAAGAGTTCTTGGCTGTGGGTAGTAAGGTATTTTCTACAGCCTGTTTTCCCCCTCCCAAGACACAATTCCTTGCACCCTCCAGAGAACAGCACCCACCAATATCTACACTGTGTTCAGTTATACAATATCTCTAGGACAGAGGGAGGGAATAATGAAGAAAGTTGATGTCTGAAAGCAAATCTCTGCTTCTGAACTATGTAATACAATTGCCTTGGTTTATGGTTTCAGTTGAGGTAAGGTTTTTTCCAGCTTAGAGCACATCACCTTTTACATAAGATGAAATATCACTGGGCACACAATTAGACAGGAGAACTATGCAGAATTACATTTTACATAACCTTCTGAACTTTAGACTTAATCACAGCCCTTCTTTTAAAGCATACCTGAGCTGACCCAACCCTTGGGGAAAAAAGTCAAAACCCCAGATCAGGGAGCCTGAGGTCATCCACCCTCACAGGCTTTCTCTGAGAAAGGAACCTGAGCTTCCTGTCTTTTCACTGCTTTCAGTTCTGCTTCCCTCAGATGAAGGAACTGACTGCCCCCGAGTTTTCTTCAGTTCCATCTTTAGCAGAGCTGGGGGGAAGCTGCACCTCAACACAACCCCAGCGACAGGCCCCGAAGGAGCCACTCACACTGCAATTTAGGGGACAGCTTCCCCCTCGCTCCAGCCATGCAGGCTCGGGCTGGAGCTGCACGCAGCAGCAGGGCTCTCACCGATCAGAATGAGCCGGGCGGTCTGGAAGAGCTGCTCGTCGTCCCACTCGGGGTGCTGGTGCTTGAGCACGTCGCAGACGCGGTTGTGCTCGCGCAGCCAGATCGTGGCGTACATCATCAGCCCTGGCACCAGCCCGAACACCTCCTGCCCCACGGAGAAGCGCAGGTGCTCGGGCACGTGCGGTGGGTACAGCATCTCTGCCTGCGTGTCCCGCACCGTCGGCGGGTACATTTCTCCATCGATCATCTGCGCGAGGGGGAAACAACAGAAGCTGTGAGCTCTGATACTTTGGGTAAGCTCTGACTCACACTTTAGATCACCTACACCATTGGCACAGCACTAATTTAGGAAATCTATGCCATCCAGTAAGAAGGTAGGAATTCTGAGCTAAGACATACCTGGTATTTTAGCTTTCCATCCTTTCGAAGCCTCAGTTTAAGTTGTCTCTCCAGAGTCTCTCCATAAACGTGGTTCAAGTCAACCTATAAAATAAAAGCATTTGGAACATGAAGCTAACCTGCATTTTTTTCTATTTTAGGATAAGTCCCTCTTCTATGGATAACAATAGGAGTTCACCCTCTAGATGTTTACCTTTCAATTATACTACTGCTACCTTATAAGTATCATGCACCGATATTTAAGATGAAGCCAAATTATTTCCTGGCAACTGGAGCCACCTCTGCATAAGAGGAGGTTGTTACATCAGTAATATAAAAGGACTCTGTTTAAAGTGTCAGCAATTTTTTATTATGCAGACAGCTTTCTATATATACACACACAATTTAGCTTTGGTTTGGACATAAGAGTGACACTTATAGTAAAGAACTCTTTGTCCAAAGGATGCCTATCTTGCAGAGAAAATTTTAAATCCAAGTCTGCTTTTGAAGTTCTTTTTAAACTAAGGGTATTGGCAGTAAATAAGCAATACTTAAATGCTGGATACGGCTCTTTGGAACTGACAGAGTCCAGAGAAGTTTTGGATACTCACTACCATCTACTCACTACTATCTAACTGAAAGCAGATTTTTGGGAACAATAAGAGATCACTGGGCAGGTATTTCAAACAGAACCACTTGTGCAGAGCACGCGGTTCTGAGCCGGGAAGAGATGCTGCCGAACACTGGAATTTGGCCTGAGGAGCAGTTAGAAAGGGGTAATCCCACGGAATTGTGGCACAGTGTGTGCACAGGTGTTTGTGTCCCCTGGCAACAGAGGATGCCATTCTGGCCATTCCAGCACTCAGCAGCTCCCAAAGAGCACGAGCCCCGTCCCCAGCAGTGACCGTACCCCGTGGCCGAGCGCTCTGGTGAAGGCAGGACCCCGCTTCTGGTCCGTCTTGAAGAACTGGTGGGTGAAGTGTTGGGCAAAGAACGTGAACATCACGTTTGTGCCTTGCGGGTCGGGAATAAACTTTCTCCTCAGCAAAAACTTCTCCACAATCAGCTTCGAATCCGGGAGCTCTTTCTTACCTGTGGGAGAAACAGACAGTGAGATACTTAAGACAACCCTTTATGCAATACTGAAGTTTGTTCCTAAGAAAAGGGCTTAAGACCTTCAGTGGAACATAATGACAGTGGCATACAAACAAGGAGAATTACCTACTTTTCTAAGCTCGCTTTCTTGATTTTATTAGAAATTTCTAAATTCCCTGCTTTTAGCATGTAACTCAATAGCAAGAACCAGAATAGTATCTTTTAGATATTTAAACAATACATGCAAAACATGGCTATTCCTGAAGTCAACTACACAGAAAAAAGGCTACAGACAAGCAGGTCTCATAGGAACTACTACTTATTTTTTCCTCTTAGAAAAGACCAAGCAATCATTACGTGTCTGGCTTATTTCTCACCTTTAACACCCATTGGAGTTGGGCAGTCAAGTCCTACTGGTGGAAGGCTTCTTGTGTAGTAGGAAAGATTGGAATAAGCTTCCCAGCTTTTGTAACTGTAGTCACTATTGTAAGTTGGTGGGCTGTCAATCAAGTGTGATCTTGCTGAAAGACAAATAAATATTTGGTTATTTTTAACTGTACAGTTTAGTCTCAAAAAGTAAATCACAAAGTCAGATCTTTTGCATATATTTGGCAGCAGGTGTAAATTCCACACATATCAGTTACTGATGTTAAATATGATTACAGTTACTGAATAACAGGACTGGATCCTGGCTGATCAGCTGGATCTCGCTATTAACATGAGCAATGGGGCGCCAAGTTCATGTCAGCAAAATCCTGAACTCTTGCAGAAAGCAGAATCAAGCTGCACTTCAGCATGTTTCATACAAGCCTGCACCATGCAGAAATCTTAAATTTTGGTCTTTTAACTTCAGTGCAATTTAGGCTGCTTGGTTTGTAGACAGATCAATTCAGTACAATATTCTGAAGTAAAATTTAAGATGACTGGAAGAGACAATTTACACTTACACGTTAGTACATATCTCATAATAGCGTCCCTTAGGAAGGGAATGTTGTTGATGATATTCCAGACTCCTTGGAAGTGGGTGAGGATGTAGTGGACAGTGTTTGGCGATGGTTTCAGTGCTAGCCTCAGCCAGGTGAAGAATTCCGCTGCGAACGACAGTGGGCAGGTTATTATCATTTAGCTTATGGAGGCTATCCTGCGATGCTGGAATTGGCCAGCGCGTTTCATTCCCACGGAGAGGGGTGTGCGATACTCACGTGTGCTGCAGTTCTGCCCGTAGTAGCCTGTCCTGGTGCAGTCGCACTCGTAGCGATCCGGCCCAGCGGTCATGCAGACGCCTCTGTTCTGGCAGGGGTTCGAGCAGCAAGGGTTGGCTGCGGGGGAACCAGAGCTCGGGTTAGCATCTCCGCAATAATTCCCACCTTGTCAGGACTTCATACAGCAAACGAGAACGCCCTGGAGCTCAACGCTGATCAGGGAGGCATCACATCACAGCGACCATCCATCCACCTCTGGGCTACCAGGGAGCAGCTCGGAAAAAGTGAGGTATGCAGGGATTCGCCTCTCGTCTGCTGCCAGCAATAACCCCGCTCAGAAGGCGAGATCATCCCTCACAGGCCAGCGGGGACCTGGCTCCCACACACAGCAGAGAAATGACAAGCGAGCGAGGAGCAGGAGAAGCAGAAAGGCAAAGCGCGCGTCGCCGCGGAGCGCGGCGCGGACTCACCGGCGCGGCCGGCGGCCAGCAGCGCGGCCAGCAGGGCCAGGGGCAGCAGCGGCATGGCGGGGCTGGGCTGGCGGGGCTGGCTCCCCGGGGCTCGAGCTGGCAGCTCCAAGTGCCGGCCTCCGCCGCGCATCCCCTATTTATGGCAGCGCCGAGCGGGGCAGGCTGACTCACTAGCCCGGAAGCGCGGGGAGAGCAGGGGATTTCTCGGCCCGCCCCGGCCCGCCCCGGCCGGCCGCGCTCGGGGCAGGTGTGAGGGCCGGGCTGGCAGCGGCTGAGGGGCGGCGGGGCGCTGGCCCCGCGCCGCGCCGCTCCCGGCTTCACCATCGCCTTAATTCAGCCGGCAGCGCTGCCAAGGAAAGGAATGCCGCAGGGACGTTAGTTTTAGTTGAGTTTCACGGAATTTAGTGTGTCTGGCGAGACCAGCTCCTGTTATTTGGCATTTTTGGCACAAATAGTGGCTTTCCCCCAGTACTTTTCCGTTAAATTCCCACTCTCCACCTCCTACCCCCCCATAGTTGCGCTGTAAACAAAATTTCCCCAATTTCCTTGAGGATACGTTATCTTTTGGTCATAGATTATTTTGTTATTAACCAGAATGCTTTGCTACTATTTTTAGTGCCTGTTGCGTGAGGGATTACAATGAAAGCAGGAGGATGTCATGCCGTTGTGCAACCCTGCAGTGCGGAGCTGCACTTTCGCCCTCCGGGTCGGCATTAAACACCAAAAACCCATAGTGGCTTCAGCAAGGATAGCTTGTGAGGCTGATGGTGTTTGAATTGCAAATCCGTGGCTTGACGGAAAGTGGATTCAGGCCGATTTAAACATAATCTTATTTTTGGCCCCAAAGCGTATTGTGGTCAGTGAGTAATTTGTGTACATTAGTAGTGAGTCTTTCTGGATGTTTTAAGACTGGTACACAAAAAGCTGCATAATCAAGAGAAGGCAGATAATATTTCTTTATACATTTGCATGCAGAAACCACGGGCTGGGTCATCAGAGGATGTCTGCCAACCCAGTTGAACTGGGAGCCTGTGGCCACAGCCACGTTTTGCTCAGTCTTATCAAGTGTAAAAAGGGTGATATTTTTTCTTGCATAAGCCAAATCAATTAAATATGGAATGTTGGTTATCCAGTGGATCAGGCTATGGCATGCATAGCACCGTAGCTCAAGGGTCTACACACATTTTCATACATTTCATATGTCCATCTCACACTGATTTTGTTCCATCTCACAAAACTTCTGCGGATGCTGTCACATGATAAGACTTTATTGCAAACATCAGGCAAGTGAGACATTGTGTTTAAATAACATGCATAGGAAAATGTTTCTAGAGTGTAAGACCAGCAACATTAAGGGGGAAACTGAAGTAATTCTGTGCAGCCAGACAACCGCCCCTAAAATGATAATCCAAAGGTAACTGTGCGATGATTTAGAGGAGATATAAATAAGTGATGATGCTTAAAGTTTTTAACTATTATAATTAATCAGTATGTAAACCAAGAGCCAGGGCAGAACTCCAGGCTTTGGAGGGGATGTTTCTCCTAGAGAAGCAGTACTTCTGCAACTAGAAAACCAGTCAGCACCCCCCCGCTTCCACCCAATGCTGCAGTTAATGTGACGTGATCTCTCTTGAGTCTGATTTTGGCTGGGGAAGGTCACTTGTGTCACTGTCACTGTCAGCTGCAGTAGAATTGAAGGGATTCTTCAGCTTTCCAAAATAGTGAAAAATCAGGGAGATACAATAGTGCTGCTTCTCAGAAGGCTGCCCTTCCCTACTTATTGCTTTGGGATTATCTTGGGTAAAGAACTGATTATATGTTGGAAAGGGAATTTTTCTCAGGAATGCAAGTTTGCTGTGGCAAGATTCACCACCAGGTGGAGATTTCATGCATCAACAAAGTGCTCTTTGCGTTTCTAGCACATAAACCATCTTTGCTAAGAATTAATGTTATTTTTCTTTCTGTTACTTGAAGTACCTTTTGGTCCAGGTCAGAGCAGCCTGTGGAACAGAGAACCTTCGTCAACCTCAGCCTTTTTGCATTTACTGACATTTCTACAGGAGGCAATTCCCTGAAGCTATTCCTGTTTCTATTTTAGGTTTAACTGCATAAATTCACACCTTTCCAAGGCAAAGGTTCAGGACAGAGGATGCAGTGACCTGTAAGGATTGACTTGCTTCAGTAATGCCACCAAAAGAAAGGGAGATGGAGTGGCAACAGGGAAAACATTGTCCCTCAGCACTGGTGCTGCTCCATTTTGCAATGGGTCAGCTGAACCCAGCTGAATTAGCACTGAATTTAGCCTTTTTAATGTATTTAAAATATTTTCCCTCCCTCCGTGACTGTGGCAATCTCATGTTTTATAGCACAGTACTTTCCTGGGAAATGAATCCGTTTCATTTGCTCTGTGCCTTTTTGCTGCTCTTTTTTGACAGAAGGAGCTCAATCTGAAATTTGTTGTCAGTTTGGATACGTTGCTCCCAATGCAAGCACAATCCAAGGCTCATTGGACAGGGATACAATGACAATCCTGGATGCTCCGACAACGTTCTCGAGAACTGAGGGATCTCCAGGGGAAGCTGATGTCTTTAGGCTCCTGATTTTGCCTTTTACAGTATTAACAGAAGGGTTTGATTATGAAATTGCTTTGTGCTTTCAGGGGATCACCCTGGCTAGACAACTAGGCTCTACTTCCCCGTGTCTTCCTGCTGTGTCCTTGTGGAGCACTCTGATCACTTGAGACCCAGTTTCATTGGCATCCTGGGTTGTGCTGGAAAACAAAAATACTCATTACCTGGTTTGGAGACAAGGGAGGTTTGCTTATTTTCCACAGGAAAATTGCAGTAAAAAGGTGCCTCGTTTATGGAGTTTCCAGGCTATCGCAATTTTGGAATTGTTCAGAACAATTCCAGGCAAAACTACGTATTAATATAGAGGGTGTGAGAGCTGGGAGCTGGAGTGCCTTGCCCTCAGGAGAAATCCCATGGACAGTGATTGGCAAGGAATGTTTGTGCATGGGCTGGGGCTGCTGGCACACACCTGTTGCAGGGGGAATAGGAAGGTGAGCTGGGACCTCACCTCAGGGGGACACCTGTGGACACCAGTCATTGTGTAGGGAAACACAGCATACCTTGTTATCCAAATCAGCTTCAGTTGGAGTTGTTTTTATTCCTGGAATTATATTTTTTAAAATGTGCAAGAAAAAAAAAATATAGGTGGGTGCACAAAAATCTACATCTGACTTAGGCAAGACCTGAGCAAGTTTGAGTCCCCCCCTTTTTTTATCCTTTTTAAGAGCAGCTTCCCTTTGGACTTCAGCTGCTGGAACAAAAAACATAAATCCACACTTTGTGTTTTATTTGCAAGCCAGTGAGAGTTTTGAGGAATGCTTTCCAATATGATAGATTTTATTTTATCATTAACATCTGCATAGAGTAAACCTTGCTCAACAAACCCTTTCCAAGCCTCTGTTTTTAATAACGTCTCTGAGTTCTTGTTTTAATTCTGTGGCATTCTTGACAGACTCAGTTACGAGTCAAAGACTGTAATGAAACAGGTGAGAAGAGTGACTTTACATCAGATTTACCTGCAGAGATGAGACGTGAAATGAGGTTTCTGTACAGTGCTGTGTGGTGCCCAGGTTTCTCCCAGCCTGTTTTTTTTTGCAAATTCTTTGCCAGGTACCTATATGATATCATGACTACAGGGCATCTGCACACTGCTTGGGAAATGACACACATCAGTTTGAGTGGAAAAGAACACAAGAATTGCTCCCTTTTGCCCAGCTTAAATGTGGATCTCTACCTGATCCGAAGCAAGGCTGAGCTCTTTCCTTGGGAGATGCCCAGACACTGAATCCTCATAATTTTAAATGAAAGGGAATGAATGAATGAAGCCCCTGCAGAAATGGCTTTCAGAACTGTGTTTTGTTTGTTCAGATGGGTGTATTAGACGATTCCTTTCCTAATTGTCACTCTTGGTAGTCACAACTTCAGTCCTGCCTGACTAGTCCTTGACAAACAAGCCCTAAATGACTTAAACTCAGCTCGAAGCTCTCTATGACCTTTATCCAAGGAGTGTAGATGAATGGAGGATGAAGCACAACATGTTTATCCTAAATGGTAGTTTGAGGCAGAGGCTGACTGAAAATTCATCCTAGCTACAATCTGTCCCATTTTTAAATTATTTTTTTAGATCACAAGACTTTAAATTAATTTTTATGGTGAATTTAAAGAGGAAGACCATAAACATGAACTATTGGATAAGCATAAGATTTTGGCAGCCACACTCTGGAATAGGCTTGTATATTTTTTTTTAACTTTTATTAAATTTTGAATAATTTTTTCAGAGACTTTGTTTGGATACACTCATCTATGGGATTTTTTTTTTCCTATATAAGCTGTATCTGTTAAAATGGAAAATATTTTTCATCGTTTCTTGACTGAAGGAAAGGATGTTTTCTTTATTGGCAATTGTTATTGGCAATTGTTACCAAAGTTAAGCCATGAACTTCCCCGCTCCCGTGATCCTGGGTTTTTTGCAGAGGCCCTGTTTTTCCCCACGCAGCCTCCATGTGTTTCGGATGTGGACATTTGATCACAGGCAAGTCTGAAATACGTCATGAGATTTTGTAACTGCCTTACATAAAGAAACGTCAGCTGACATTTTATCTGCTTTTGGTCACCAGCTGCAACTCACATTAAGGTAATTGCTTCTGCTGTGCCATTTTTAGTAAGTATTTAGCCTTTCATTGTATATTGAAAGGCTATCTTTCTGTGGGAAACCTGCACAGAAAACCCTCCTTAGAGAAATTTCCAAATACTTCTCTCCTCAATGCAGATGCTTGAATTTTCTTTTAGCAACTTCCTGCTTAATTTTAGTGAAATCTGTCATCCAGCCTCATGCTCTTTTGTTGTGCAAATACAATCATGTGGAATTTTCCTTTGCTTCAAGTACATGGATATTAAACTGGATAAGGGAAACTGAGGTGGGTTTTGCTGAGTGGAAAATTATTTTAGTGTAATGCTTTCTTACATAAAACATGCCTTT